GACTCATGGCTCACTCCGTGCAGGTCGCCTATGCTCTCCATGGACAGCTGCGCGTTCATGATGCGGCCAGCGCTGTGGACCAACCATCTATCTGACCTACCGATGCCCAGAAGTCCCCATGCACGTCCAGTAAACTTCAAAATGTCTGTTGTTGCTTTATTTTCTCTTCTTGCAGCAGCCTCCTTTATATTCGCTTATAAGGATATTTGATTATTTACCTCAGCGGTTGATTTCCAAAACGGGAATTCCCTTTAGAAGAAAAAAAAATCCTTTAATTTTTCTCTTGATGTCTCAGTTTAAAAACAAACAAACATATTTTTGCTTTTCTTTGTAATTCAAGCCCCCCCGCCGCCACCCAGCTGTCCTTGCGCTCCGGTCGGGTGCCGCGCCATCTCTCCAGCAGTGTGTGTCCAGTCCCCGGTGTACCGCAGCACAGACCACACCGTCTGCACATGCGCACTGTGGACACCCACCTCCTCCCGGCACTCTTTCCTCTTCTGTTTTTCCTCTCTCCACAACATCCCCCCCCCCCCCCCCCCCCCCCCCCACACACTCTGACGTTTGGACCTTATTAAGGAAGGGAGCTCCGCTGAACGCAACCATTTAACCCATCAGCCTAAATCCTCACGACGTAAACACACAACGTGCACACACCACCGACTCTCATCCAGCGCACCCGGGGTTTGAGCCTCTATATTTAGAGAATGTCTGGTGCATCACTGTGATGAGGATGTCTATTTGTATATGTCCTCCTTCGGTCCTCCTTAAATCATTAACAGCAAATGAGATAAACTTCCGGGTTCATTGAGAGTTGATTTTTAACCTGAAAAAACTCCAAAACATCAGATGAGGACAATCATAATCAGAGCAGTTTAAGATTTGTCTGTAAAGTTTTGTGCGTCTTATGGATTTATTAGCTTAATGCTTCAGCTGCGCCATATTTGTGCGGATGGACCTTCTCTTCTAGAAAAAGAGCAGCAGATGTGTCCATTGTTCATCCATTAGTCTTAACGAACCAAGCCCAGCAGGAGCAGTGTGCGTCCGCTGCGTGTCACAAACACTCGTGGAAACATTCAGCCTGAGCCATAATCTATACACCATGAACATATAGATTATAATCCGCGCAAGCTTTCACGTTGAAACCAAACGAACTCCACGTTTTGGATTTATCTCCAGATTAAAGCCACTGATCCAGAATCGGTGCCTCCCAAGGCCTGATAAAGAGCCGCCCCCCCCCAGCACGTCAGGGACTGTTTAGCGTGGCAGGGCGTCCTCGGCCTGGCCGAGGTGACAGCTTGAAGCGGCCAGTGTCCTTCTGCCCCCCCGCTGAATTAGGGGACATGTCAAAGGTGACGCTTCAAGACTCCCAAAGCCAACATCTGCGGGGGGAGAGATTAACCTTTCAGACTTTTCCTTGTTTTAGACCTGCTTTATGCCCCCCCCCCCCCACACACACACACACACACACACCACCACACACACACATCTGTCAACTCCCACTCACCACCAGCACTACAATAGAGCTCGGTTGAACAAGTTAAATAAAAGAAAATGGGGGGGTGGGGGGAGAAGTTAAACTGTCTCTGATGCGAAGTCAATGTCAACGGCGTGTGTGTGACGTGCGTCGAGACAAAGGGACGTTAATTCCTCTGAGTGTGACGTGTTTGTGTGTGTGTGTGTGTGTGTGGGGGGGGGGGGGGGACAGAGGATATTACCATATTAGCACACTTTTACCTTCATTTATCTATATCAGAGGGGGCAATAATCCCCCCCCCCACACACACACACACCCTTTATTGAAGAAGTTCAAAAGATTTTATGTTAAATTTATTGTTTGTGCTGGTTTGGTGTGAAGCCTTGAAGACACTTTCAGGATTAAGAGTTTCAGTTGATGCTCAGGACAACAAAAACAAATGTTGGCTCTGATAATATTGTTTATTATGTTGTTTATTATGTTGTTTATTGTGTTGTTTATTCGTCAACACAATGTCAGCAATGAAATGTTCAGGATGCGAAGAACCGACTTGTACTAAAAATGAGTCATTTAGGTTATTTTGTATTTCTCTTTTTCAACCTTTTATCGTCTGTCTGACTTTTGAAAGGTTCATGTTTAGATTAGTCAAACTCTTAATTTGTTGCATCGCTTCAGTCCCTCGACCCTCATGTGTCTCTTGTAGATTCAGTTCTGAATCTGTCTCAAAGTTATTTTAGTTTAGTCTTAAAGTCACTTCTTTACCAAACGTTAACGAGAAAGACCTCATCTGAAACAGATATGAGTGATTTTTCTTGTTTGTGTATTTGAAGGGCCGGATTTAGATGGTCCAAGGGCCATTTCTGGCCCTCGAGCCCTAATTTGCTCATGTGTGTTCTAAATGAGCAGCCTTTTAATGATCTGATTATCTTTTTCTTTTAGAATAGAGCCTAAAATGTTTAGTTTTATATAAGAACAATGTCCACGCAGCTTGTCCACTCTCATGTAGGAGATGGAACAAAAGCTCCAAGGTTTGGCCTCTTGGAAGCAAACCTCATCTACACATTCTCATGCGGATCGATAGGCTGCTGCCACGTCTGCTTCACCTGAGCTCTGTGCGCGTATGCGTGCGTGTGTCGGGCTCTCCGTGGCCATTGTGCCGCGTTGGGCCCGGCTTTATGCGCCTGATGTGACATTTGCTGTACGCAGAACAAAAAATACACGGTTCTTTTTCTCTTTACGCACTGCTGAAAGGTGGTGAATGGGGG